GCCCTGGGAGCAGAAGTCACAGGTTTCTGCTCCTGGATGTGAGCTTCTTCTGTGCTTTTGGATGCAACTGGCAAAAGCAAGGCTTCCTCAGCCTCGTTATGGAAACGTGCCTGCTTTACCTCTTTCTTTTCTACCATTTTCCCCAGTGACCCCAGAGCTTCTGCTCACTCCCGGAAGAGGTCACGCTCTTTCACACATTTAGATCCTTATATATGCTGTTCTTTGTGACTGAAATGGTGTTCTCCTTAATCTGATGAGCTATGATCATTCGTCAAAACTGAAATGCTTCCTCTCTGGGGATCCTGTATCAGTCCCCTCCCCTCTTCTAATTCCCTCTTTCCCTGTTGGCGCACAACAAATAATGTGAGGAAATAGGAGGTCGGCCCCAATTAATATGACCTCTGTCTTGCTCATCTATTCCAGGGATCGCAAATTATGGCCCATCCAAATCCCAGGTCGTTATGTGTACTCAGAAGAAAAGCTTTACTGGAATACAGCCTCCCCCATTTGTTCGTGTATCGTCTACAGCTTGTTCGCACTACAATGGCGGACTTGAGTAGTTGCAAAAGAGACCCTCTGGCCCACAAATGCTAAACCATTTATCCTCTAGACCTTTACGGAAATGCGTGTGAATCCCTGACCTATGTCATGGCCTCAGAGCCTCGCGCGTGGTAAACGGTGTACTAGATGCTCAATAAACATTGTGAACAGAGAGATCAGGATATCAGTGGACAGAGTAGGAATCAATGACTCTGTTGCTAGCAGTACTTTGAGTTCTCTAATGCATTCTGCTCGAAGACCTGAATAGACATTTTTTCCAAAGAAGATATACAGAAGGCCAACAGGTACATGAAAAGGTATTCAATATCGCTAGTCAACAGGGAAATGCAAATCAAAATCACAATAAGATCTCACCTCATCCCTGGTAAAATGGCTATTATCAAAAAGATAAGAAATAACAAGTGCTGGCAAGGATTTAGAGAGAAGGAAATCCTTGTGAACTGTTGGTGGGAATGTAAATTGGTACAGCCACTATGGAAAACAGTACGGAGGTGTCTAAAAAATTGAAATAAAACTAGCATATTATCCAGCAACCCTGCTTCTGGGTATTTATCCAAGGAAAACAAAAACATTAGATATATGCACCCCCATGTTTACTGTAGCATTATTTACAATAGCCAAGACATGGAAGCAACCTAAGTGTTCATCAATAGATAAAGAAAATGGAACATTATTCAACCATAAAAAAGAATGAAATCTTGCCACTTGCAACAACATGGATGGACCTGGAAGGCATTACGCTAAGTGAAATAAGTCAGACTGAGGAAGACAAATATAATATCATCTCACTTATATGTGGAATCTAAAATTAAGAGAAAAAAAATTGAGCTCATAGGTACAGAGAACAGATTGATTAGTTATCAGAGGCAGGGGTTGGGAGTGAACAAAATGGGTGAAGGGCATCAAAAAGTACAAACTTCCAGTTACAAAATAGATAAGTCATGGGGATGTAATGTACAGCATGCTGGATATGGTTAACAATACTGTATTGCCTATTTGAAAGTTGCTAAGAGTAGATCTTAAATGTTCTCCTCGTAAGGAAAAAATGTTAAGTATGTATGGTGATGAATGTTACCTAGACTTGTTGTGGTGTATATTTCACAATATACACAAATACTGAATCATTATGTTCTAAAACAACAACAAATAAATAAATGCATCCTGCTCTAGCTCAAAGAGAGTTCCAGTCACACCTGCGTGTGGCCCCTTGCACCTCAGTCCTCAAGACTGCAGAGAGAACTCAGGCCCTGGGCTGTGAAGAAGCTGTTTTACCTGCTTCCTTTTCCCCGTTTCATTTTGTAAGCAAATTTCAAGAGATAACTGCTCTTAGGCATCCACGAAATCTTTCCCAGACTGACCCACCCACCCAGCTCCAGTCCTGCCAACGCACCCAGCCTGGGAAGGTGGTGAGATGTGCTATCACTCCAGTGACCGCTTTGCGACCTCTTTTTTTTTTACAGGCCATGCTCTCTCCCCTAGATCATTCTACTTAGTACAGAGTGCCGAGGACAATTTGTACACAGAGCAGACAATCTACCAACTGCTGAGGGCTGAGAAGCAGGGGTGTTCAGGAGATGGTGAGAGGGTGTGGCTAGTCATTTTTCAAGTAAAAATAAAATAGAAAGTCCCTTTCAGAGACAAGGCAGTATGTGGCCTGTGCATGAAGCATCACTTTCCGGCCACTGGGGTACCTTCAGGTCAGCCCGGAAATGGATGGAGTGAGCCTGTTGCAGCAGCTCAGAGACTTGGGCTCGAGCTCAGACTCGGGGACCAGAAACAGCAAAAGCACCCCTGGTTCCTGCTTCTTGCAAGGTCTGGGTCAAGGCCAGACAGGAGAAGAGGGGGATGGGGTGGAGGTTGGGGGATGATGATAGTGACCTGGAATCATCTTAAACAGAGAGAAGGTCCATCTTCTACTAAAAAGAAAGACACTATCTGAGCGATCATCTCTTTGGATTCTGAGATTTCTGCAGGGAAGGGGAAAGCAAAGACTAAGGAAGGAACCCCAGGGAGAAAGACATACGGCGAGCGGGGCGGGCTGGACTGCGGGGTCCGTTTTCATGTTGAGACTGTCAGGCTGCTTCCAGCTGGAGATCCCACAGCCGTGAGAGGACGCAGAGCGCCACAGCGAGCTGGGGCTGGGCCTGGCCCTGGCCTTCGGAAGCCTCTTCTCCAAGCCTCTGGTTTTCACCTGAGGTCATGGAGACAAGAGGACTTGAAGAATAAGCCTCCCACCTCAGCGACCACCCCAGGCCTGGAGCCCAGAGGGTGTGCCCCCAAACTCAGCATATGAGCTCATTTGTTGGCCTGCTTTTTTTTTTCTTTTTTTTTTTTCCGCCATGATGCTACTCACACAGACTTTCAAGGGCTCATCCCAAATTAAAGAACGTTCTGGAAAACGTAAATTTTGTGTCAGGCCTCTGGGGGTGGTAGGAGGAATATTTGTTGGAGGTGGTGGGAAAAACCAAAAAAGGCAGGAAGGCTTTTGAGCAGGGTAAAGAAAATGCTTTCTAGGTAAGAATGGCCTTCCTTGTCTTACTCAGTCAACCAAGGGTTGGCTTCATGTTCGTCTCTGCGTGAGCTGCAATGAGGCCCAGAGAACCACGGTGTACAGTCACCCTGCACTAAGCTTCCGCGCATAGGGGTCAGAGGCACTGGCACTCCAAAGCTGAGTCTACCACTAATTAGTTCCATGAATGTGGCCGAGATCCACGGCATCGCTGGACCTTGGCTTCCCCCTCAGCAAAGCAGGGCTGAAAATAGTGCTCACCCCACCTGTTCCTCACCAGGCTTCCGTGAAATCCTCTGTGGGAATGCTTAGCACAGAGACCAGCTCGCTGCCTCCCGTTATTTCAGTATTTCTCTTCCTAGCTGGGTGACCAGTCTCCATTTAACCCTATCTTCTGGGCCATCACACATCCCTGGGTAACTCCTATCCCAGGCTCCCAAGCTGTCGTGGGTTGACTACTGGCTGTACCCCCCAAATTCATGCCCACTTGGAACCCCAGAAGGGGACCTTATTTGGAAATAGGGTCTTGGCAGATGTAATTCGTTGAGGGTCTCGAGATGAGATCACACTTGACAAGGATGGGCCCTACATACACTGTTCGTCTTTATAAGAGACACAGGCACAGACACACACAGACACACACAGACACACACACACACACACACACACACACAGAAGGAGCCCACGTGAAGATGGAGGCAGAGACTAGTGATGTGGCCGCAGGCCAAAGAACGCCGCAGGCCCTAGAAGCTGGAAGAGGCAAGGAGGGATCCCCCCAAGAGCCTGCGGAGGGAGCCAGGCCGGCCAACACTTCGATTTCAGCTCTTGTGTGAAGGCACTGAGTCTGTGATAGCGGGTCACGTCAATGCCAGGAAGCATACAAGCCAAGCTCTGACTCCCACCCAGTGGGCCATCCCCACGTGCCTTCGTGGATTCTGAGCAGGAGGTAACTACTTCCTTTTTCAGGTTTGTGTGCCAAGCTCCCATATCATGTAACTAATGGAGAGATCCACCCATCCTTGCAAAACTTGTAGGCCCAGACGGTAGCAAAATTTTATTAAGAGAGAAAAAAAAAATCTAAGCTAGAAATGCAAGAGAAAAATGAAGCAACCAAATTGCGTAGCTGTTTCTACCTTTCCCTGAAGGTGTGCCCGGCATTTTACAGGGACCTCGGTGGCATTTCGTGGCAATGTCTGACAAGTTTGTTTTGGCGGCACTCAAGTCCTTTCCTCTCTTCTGTGGCTGTTAGGCCTCGGGGCTGCTTCCAGCTCTCC